AAGAAGAAGAAGAAGAAGAAGAAGAAGAAGAAGAAGAAGAAGAAGAAGAAGAAGAAGAAGAAGAAGAAGAAGAAGAAGAAGAAGAAGAAGAAGAAGAGAAGAAGAAGAAGAAAGGCTGAAAAGCAACTTGGGGGAATCAAGAGTTTACTCAGCCTACAAGGTACAGCCCATCATCAAGGGAAACCAAGGGAGGACCTGAAGCCACGGACGACACTACTGACTGGTTAGCCTCCCGTTCGGGCTCAGCTTGCTCTAATACTCAGGCCCACCTGTGCAGGGCACCACCCACAGTGGGTTGGACCTTTCCCAAATCACCATCAATCAAGACAGTCACACGGATTTGCACACAGGCTAATGGAGGCTTACCCCAGGGGAGGCACCCCTTCCCAGGTGTGTCAAGTTGACAACCAAATTAACCACCACCGAGACAGTCTTTACCTGGCCTACAAATCCCCAAACACCATCTGGTGCTCTCACCTCAGTGGAAGTGCCTTTGCTCCGTTTCCCTCAACTATAGCCACCCTAGGAAATTTCCAAATTAAAATCTGCCATAATTATAGTTAGTAAGAAACTGAATTTAAAAATCAAGAACAGCCACGGTGCACTGGACTCCACCCTGAAGCTACTGATTCCAGCTCATTTACTACTTTTTGAACTATCTTGTGCTCCCAAAGTGACCTAACCTTATCTTACAAAAGAAATTCCAAACTTAAACACCCTTTCTATTACAGCCAATTGGCTTTCATCTTCATGAGAAACTGGTGAAACCAACAGAAAAGTTTGTTTCTAGTGAAACAAGTCAAAATGAGGAGCCCGTGAACAATGAGTCATGGGAGACCAGCTTCACGGGACCTCAAACTACGGATTAGTGTGTGGAGTGGCTTCTTAATCTATGACGACTGTCGTTTTTTTAGACTTATTAACTTGTGTTTGTGTGTGCGTGCACACCATGTGCCGGCCTGTGCCCTTCAGAGGTCAGACGAGGGCTGGGACGAGAATTAACAGTTATGAGCTGCCATGTGGGCACTGGAAATCTCTGCACCAACAACAAGTGCTCTCAGCTGCTGAGCCAGCTCTCCAGCCCCTGTCACTTTTCACTAAAACTCTCCGGTGACTGATATTTCCGAAACTGAGTAAATTAGTCTGTGTCCCACAGCCAGTTTTGCTATTATTAGTACTTGGCAAAAAAGAATAAAATTTAAGTGGCTGTTTTCTTAAAGGCCTTTGCGGCCTCACAGTCAGCAGGGATAATGACATAAGGAACCCAATACACCACACTTTGCATTTCAGCTAAGCAGTGGGAATGTCCTTTGTGCTTGACTTCCTAATCCAAATGTTAAAACTAGTTCCCACACCTGTCACATTCTCTTGTAACACAGTCACAACTGCTTATAGGTCCAACTCAAATGCTAGTACTGTCATAATTGTTTAAATTATCATCCAGACAAAACTGTGGACACCTTAAAAGGCTGGCCCCTATCAGCTTGGTACTCAATTTTTTTGTTGAAGGTATCATAAGAATGAATCTCAAGGTTTCTCTCAAACTGTTAATAATTACCTAGAACGATTTGAAAACCGTATTAAATCATAAGGTATCTAAACAAGTGCATAGTCTAAGAAATCAGCTGACTTACCAGGTTAAATAGCAAACTGAAGTTGTATCTCAACCTAGAAATCCACATTTTTGGTGATAGTCACCTCTGACCCAGAGCAAACCTCACCCAGCACTTCCCAATTTGTGATTTTCCCCAACTTCTAGAGAAAGCTTCATTCATGATAAAAGTATTCAAGCAAAAGCAAATGCTGCTACTAACACCTATTAATGTACAACTGGAAAACTACGCCCTCAATTTTAAGTAGGATAAAACACAGAGTAATGCTTGCTCTAATCTCTGACCTCAATGTATAATCCCTTCAGAAGAGCAGCCGAGCAGTCTAGCAGTCAGAAGGCAGAGGCAGGTGGATCTCTGAGTTTGAGGCCAACTAAGACTACATGGCCTGTCCCCACCAAAAAAAAAACAATTTTATTTTAAAGCTGCAAGATTCCTATCTCCTATTTTCAATCCTTCATATTAGACAAACTGTTTAAATTAAGAGCCTGTAGCCAGCAGGCAGATGGAGATAAAAGCATCTCTTCATGGAGTGACTGAGGACAGAAATCAACAACACAACACAAGCACTTACCTACTTCTTAGGTTCTCAAGGAACTTCTTATTGGGGAAAAAAAAGTTTCATTTTTAAGAGAGCAGGAAAAGTGTGACTCAAGCATGTCTGCAATAGAACACTGAGGGGAAAAAATGTCCCACTTAGTTCCATAGGCTTGGCCAGTCCTTCCAAAAAGGCGGAAGAGCATGTCCACAATCCTAGCACTAGGTGGGCAGGCTCCTGAAAATTCAAGGACAGCTGGGTCTACATAGCTAGTTTCAAGCCAGCTAGGGACACACAGGAGAAGTGGGGGTTGGGGAATGAGGCCAAAATAAGGCTGACAGGGCTCTTCCCTTCACACTGACAGAAGTGGAAGACATTCTCAAGTGTCAGTGTTCACAGGTAACACCCACACACTAGCTAACGGCAGGTGATGAGCAAACAACCCACTCCTCAGAGCACACTTTACACTTCCACTATCAGACGCAGAAAACAAACTGAAATGCAAGTGATCCAATTTAGAGTGTGAACAAACAAGTCTACAAACCAACTGACCCTCACTGGTGGTCTTGAGGCAAGAAGTCCTAAATTCCAAATTCTCAGCCACCCTTCATCCTTTAGTATCTATCTTTCCTAAGACAAGATTCCATATTAAGGTATAACCATGAATATATTCAGACTCAAGAGCATTTTGTGAACCTAAATCACTTTTAAGCTTTAAAGATTTGAAATTCTGGGGTCTGGGGATGGCTCAGCTTTTGAAGAGGACCCCAAATCTGATCTGGCAACTCACAATCACCTGTAATCCAACTCCAATGGATTCAATACCTTCTTCTGGACTCTGCAGGAACCTGCACTCACAAACCTACACACACACACTCACACACACACACACACACCCCTTTTTTTTTTTTTTTTTTAAATAGACCTTAAAAAAAAATAAGATTTTAAACTATTGCCATCTTATTTCAAGATCTCCCAGATCCATCAAGATGGCTCAGCTGGGAGAGGCACTTGCAGCCAGGTGTTTGATCCCCAGGACCCAGATGGTAGAGCAGACCTGCATAAATCCTCTGACTTCCACAGGTTGCTGTGTGAAAGGCACAGGCTTACACACATACACTCACACAAAATGACTGTAAAGATCTTCCAAACTATCATTTAACTAATGACTACTTTAGAATTTACACTCAAAGTATTTGAAATACAAGGATCTTCACATTGGGGCAACTTCATCTTGAAAATCAGGTTATAGGGCTGGAGAGATGGCTCAGAGGTTAAGAGCACTGGCTGTTCTTCCAAAGGTCCTGAGTTCAATTCCCAGCAACCCACACAGTGGCTGAAAACCATCTGTAATGAGATCTGGTTCCTTCTTTGGGCCTACAGGGATACATGCAGGCAGAACACTGTATACATAATAAAAATCAAGAAAAAAAAAGAAAATCAGATTATATTCAAGTATGAAAAACCATCTCCACCTCCTGCCAACTAAGCTTGAAGTCCTCTGTTCAGACTCTCACAGGTAAATCTAGACACCAAACAGCTGTCCACCCATTTAAAAAGCTCCCCATGCTGGCCAGGGGACCACAGGAATCCCATTTCCTGTCCTACTATCCAATTAGATTTCTAAGGTGAGCATAGATGACACTGGGCTGTTTGAGTATGCACCATGAACTGTGGGGTTTCTAAAGCCACCATTTTCAAAGTAAAAAATGACCTCGTTTGACAATCTTCCCTAATTCCTACCAGCTAACTCAGTCTTTCCACCAAAAATAAGCAAACATCAGAGGTAACACGTAACGATAGCTCTAAATCATTTCCTGTATCCTCGGGGCACCCCCAAAAAAACTGCATTAAAAAATCTTCAGTCTTGTGAGTCAAAGCTCAAGCAGAAACCTAAGGACAGTACAGTTAAGCGAGCAAAGAATTCAACTTCCATCCAATTTTCACTCCCATGTGGGACACTTACCTGTTCGAGGTGCTAAATATTTGAACCAAGCATCAACCATCATTCATTCAAGTACCTGAGCAAACTAGCCTAACCTCCATGTCCTTCTTGACCTTGTAATTACACTATTTGGGCAAGAATCAGATCTTAGAAATTACATGAGGACGAGTTAAAATGTAGGGGGTTCAACATTAAAATATTACCATGAGGCTTTGGGCTTTCAAAATCTTGAGTCAAAAAATTTTACCATACCATTAAACCCAGTAAGTTAACTGGTACTCTGAACCACCCACCGGATTATACATACTCTCACTCAATCATGTAAAGAATTGAATTCTTTATTTGTGATATCCATAAACGTTGCTATTCTATGTTTCTATCCAGGAAGGCAATTTTTTTCTCCTATTATCAGGTTTTTTTTTTTGTTTTTTGTTTTTATAAACAACAACTTGAATTCTATTGCATGAAGGGCTACAAACACACGTTAACCAAGCAGAGTACATAGATTGTTTTACAACTTGCACCTAACCCCGTACACATAGCTGCTCCGGTAGCTACAGAGCAGTTTGGGGCTCCTGCCCAAGCTATGCATAGCAGTTGACATTTTCAAACCTCATGTAGAAGACTGGTGAGGGCTGTCAGCTACATTCCTGTGAAGCCCATCTCAGTCAAATGTGGAACTTCCAAGTCTGCACCGATTTCTGATGGCAAACTGCTCAATCTGATGAAATTGTCCTGAACAAATGACTTTTTTAACCAACTGTCTTGCAGCTATACGGCCACTCTACCAGTAGATGGTGCTACATGGGTTGGACTTCAAAGGACAAAGTTCAGATTTAGGAAAAGAAACGTTTTTAAACCTGCTCTGAAAATACAAAAAAAAAAAAAAAAATCACTTAGTGTTAGGGTCAACATAACCCTTATTTGTAACCATTCATTACAGACAAACCAATAAGGATGAAACTAGGTCATCTAAAAAAGTTTCAAACAGTTTTATATGAATGAGAACACATGCTTAAACACAAACTATTTCTCTTAAAACTACACAGTACATATTCTGAAGTAAATTCTCATAGAAAGAAGTGACCAACCATGTCAAGATGATAAGCTTACTCGCTTAGTACAGGAGATGGATGCACAGAAACCTTCAACAGCCACATCCACCACTTCAAAAGTTTGACTGTAAGGGGTAAATTCAACACATCACTAGCTGGGCAACAGGAAAGGGGAAAAAAATAACCCACAAGACCTCTTTTTTAAGTTTCTCAAAGTACATCAAAAACTAACAAAAATATCCTTTAAAACGGTAAGGAGTGGATCCTAGAAAAAAAAAATGTTAGACATGTACGGTCAAACACAATGATTTATTAAAAATAAAACGTAAAAATGATTTTTGTACATATGCTTCCAAATTTCAGGCATGGGATCCAAGTAGGTTTCATAGAAAACGCTGTAGCCAGGTATCAAGTCCTTACAACAAAGTAAACTACCCCCGCCCAACCCCCACCCAGGTTTTGCTACAGAATCAGCAAGTTCACTCCCTCCCACCCACCCCCCCAAAAAAACACAAATTAAAACAAGACATTTTGCTAGTATAAAAACGACCAAGGTCCAAGTAATAATAAAAAAATAGAGTCCATCAATGACTGTAACACAAAAATGTGTGTGTGGGGCCGAGTCCACCTTCAGGGGGGAGACAGGCAGGCAAATGGGGGGACTGCCCCCCCAGGGTAAGCGGCTCCCCCGCGGGCACCTGGGGCGGGCGCGGAGGGGAGAAGCGCCGCCGCCGCCGCCTGGCATCCGGAACTCGGCTTCTAGAACGAGCCTCCGCCGTAGCCGCCGCCGCCGCCGCCGTAGCCGCCTCTGTACGGTCCACTGTTGCTGCGGCCGCCCCAGCTGCCGCCGCCGCCGCCGCCGCCGCTCTTCATCGGCCCGTACGAGGACTGGTGCTGGCTGTAGCTGCCGAAGCCGCCGAAGCCGTTGCCGTAGTCGCTGCCGCCGTACGAGCCG